CTGACTCCAGACCCACTACCATCACAGCCTGAGCTATCATCAGCAAAGGCATATCGTCATCTTTGAAACATTTTGGTACCTCCAATGACAGCTCTCCGGATTTGTGGTCAATGTATTCATTTATTGTAATAATTCAGCTACTAACAAAATACGCTGACGTCCTCGACTAATGGCGCCTGGAAAAAGGAGCAAACTTACTGATTAGAAGCTGCAAGGAGCAGATGCTGCTAATGCCTATCCGTGGTTTCGCTACTACATTAGGCTTTCTTAAAAGATCAACTTACAAAACCCTAAATTCTCTTTTGTCTCTAAAACTTCACGCAATCACGCACTTGCACCTACTTTGAGGCGCATGCCTCTGCTTTCGGCAAATCACGGATTGCGTCTGCCTTTACCCGAACTCTAACCATCTTTGCCTACTCCACTAATCATGTCTAATCTGTCACTTTTGCATGTCGTTGCCAAGCCGAGCTGGTGCTGCGTTTCGTACGACCGCGTCTCAAGGACTCTCAACGAGGCTTAGTGGCTCTGATCTTCAAGGCCTACAGTGTGCATCGAGACGACAACAGGATTCTGGACATTCTTGTCAGTATTCTGCAAGTCATCATGGCCAACGGTTAGTGTGGCATTTCACATTTTCCGCATCTCCCACACTCAATTTATCCCACCTCAGGCAACATACGAGTCTGTACAAGACACAAGGAAGAGACTGCGAGTTAAAATTTTGCAGTAAATTCCTCGAAGTGATGTTAACAATGAGGCGGCAAGCGGCACTTTCTCCACTGACTTGGTCCGGCCACCTTGAGGTGGTGTACCTAGGTTCCCCTTATGCATCAGTCACCCAAAGAGGACACTGATGCTGATTTCCGCCTCCAAATGTACACTTCTTATTCCTCTTCTTATTCTCTATAACCGTCTGTGTCCACCGCAAAATTGAGAGGATGTTGACATCCTGACACGGTAGAGGAAATGCATAATGCATTTCAGTGCTTAGTTCTTCTATGCCGGTTATGTCTGACTTTTTTGCTCCAATTTACCAGAATGCAACATTGAACTAATGGGATCAGGTTCTTTAACCTTCTAGATGGTGTTTTAGAAGCCATTATAAGTGATATACCGGCGCTGAAGTTGCTCCTTGTGGAAATTCGTGAACGCTTTCCAAATATCGAGGTAAACTGCATGATATTTTACCAACAAAATAATAATTCTTTTTGAATTACCAAGATCTATCTGTTCCACTAATGAGAGAAACATAAGGTAAAGACGGAGAGAGGTTACAAGGCCTTTTTACTTGGCATTCTAAAAGCTCTCCTTATCGTGCACAATGCCCTCTAGAGTCCAGG